TCTTGAAATCTCTTATGACTCATCTGGTTATTTTCTCTCTCGGGCCAAATATGCTTCTGATCTTCTTGCTTGCGCTGTACTTATTGATTGCAAAACTGCTTCTACTCCAATTGATCCTCAAACTCATCTTACTCCTCTTGATGACACTTTTTTTCCTGATGCTACCCTCTACCGGCAGTTGGTATGATGTCTTATCTACCTTACAGTTGCACGTCATGATCTTTCATATGCTGTCCATATTGTCAGTCAGTATATGTCGGCTCCTCGCACACCTCATTATGATGCCCTGCTTCGCATTCTTCGCTATCTCAAGGGCACTCTATTTCATGGTCTTTACTATTCTTTTCTATCTTCTCTCAAGCTTCATGCTTATTCTGATACTGATTAAGCTGGTCATCCCGCTGATCGTCGCTCCACTACTGGTTTCTGCTTCTTTCTAGGGGATTCACTTATTTCTTGGCACAGCAAGAAACAAACTCTCACTGCTCACTGTAGTACTAAGGTTGAATATCGAGCTCTTACAGATACTATCCAGGAACTTCTATGGCTTAGATGGCTCCTTGCTGACATGGGTGTCGCTTCTGCTAATGCTATCTCTCTCTACTGTGATAACCAAAATGCCATTCAAATTGCTCATAATAATGTCTTCCACGATCGCACTAAACACATTAAGATTGACTGTCATTTTATCCAGTAGCATTTTGTTCGTGGCACAGTCTATCTCCATTCTATTGCCTCTGCTGATCAGCCTGGTGGTATTTTCACCAAGGCTCATCCACCTGGTCGTTTCAATGACCTAGTTTCGAAACTCATGTTGGTTGATGTCTATCCACCTTGAGTTTGCAGGGGGCTATTAGTGTATCTATATAGTGATTATAGTACCTATCATATTTAGTGTGTGTGATTGATACACCTTCCTACTTTGTGTACATTTTCTCCTCATATAAATATAGGAGTCATTGTACTTGATTCAATACAATAATATATACAGAGTTTTACTTTTCTTTCTACATTATTTCATCATGATTGAGTTTCTCATCAAAGAAAAATGTCCATTTAGAAATGTTGCATATCATATTTTTTTCGGGACTTTCTTGTCACAACTATTATGTATGAGGATTGCTATATATTATCAAATAAATTTTGCGGTTTTTTTCAAGTTTTAAACATTGTGTTGAAACCTCAATTGTTAATCTTTTATTTTTATTTTTTATGTTTTTTTCCTTTCAGTTTTTTTAGAATCCCAAGACAAGCCAAAATGAAAAGAATGTTCCCCTTGATTTTTTTAGCTAATTTTAAACTTTTAGACTAAAAGATTGAGTTGCTAAACGAGACCTAAATTGATACAAAAGATAAATTATAGTAATCTCGAGAATAATTTATCTTATTAGAAAATACAAATATAAGAAATGAGAATAAAGAAAGAAAAGATCAAGAGGGAGCAAGTCATGAAAATGTAACTTAAGTTAAAATTAATGTGATGGTTAGTGTGCCAACTGTCATGTACCGACTCATTGATAATGCGAGTTTTACACCAAACACCTTGTAATTCTTATCGAATCACTTGGGTTAGATTCTTGGAAATAATTGAAGTACACGCTGCATAGTACCACTCGTGGAGTCAGTTTCTCGAGAGGATGACAAGCGCCCAGTCCATGACATAACGCTAAAGAGTATTTATTTGGTCTTTTGAAAATTTTATAGTGGTGTTATGTACACCCAATTGAATAGATACATGACTCAAAAAAATAAGAATAGAAGCCTGTTTTGGAAACTGGATTTTTTTTGGCTTATCGACTTTTTTTAAAAATACGTGTAAAAAAGTAAATAAGTGATGTAATCCAAATAAATCAATAAATCAATAAATTGATTTATTATTTTTTTGCCTTCCCAAAAAAGGCTAGAGTTAATTACACTAGTCTCCCATCACAAACACATGGGCTCCATTTGGTTTAGGTTTTGATTTATTTATTTATTTATTATTATTTTTGAGTTTTGAGTTGTATTTTGAAAGATAAGTTGTTGAAAAAAGTTTTGAAAATTAAAAAATTGTTTGGTTATGAGTTTTAAAAATAATTTTAAAATGATTTGTATTTTTTTTTTTTTTTGTAGTTGACTAGATAGGTGAGAGAAAATTTGATTGATTGATATGAAAAATGTGAAAGAATGAGAGATGAGAGATGAGAGAGGAGAAATGAGAGAACAGTGAGAAACAGTGATTGATTTATTTATTTATTAATAAAAAAACAGAAGGAGAGAGGAAAGAGAAAATAATTTTGAAAATTTATTAACCAAACATGTTTTTTAACTTTTTCTTCCAAATGTTAATTTAAAAATTAAACTAAACGTTGGTAGGGTGGTAAACTGCCAATATGTCATAATAGTTAAACTTAATTCCCATAAAGTTCTATTGAAAATAAGTCTTAGCAAAATTATTTTAAAAAAAAATTGTGACTATTTTTTGCATATGTCGTTAAAAATTGACAATTAATGCCTTTTTTTCAAAATTTTTATGAATTGTCGCTAAAACTTATTATCAGTGATGTTTTTGCATGACGAATTTTTTAAACTGTCGTTGAAATTTGAAAATTAATGACCTTTTTGTGACAATTTTTTTAAATTGTCGCTAAAATTTATAATTAGGGGAATTTTTTGTGATAAGATTTTCAAATCGACGCTAAAAATTAACTATTAGTGACTTTTTTAATAGCGTTTGATAAAAAAAGGCCATTAATTATTATAGGACCTGTTGGACAATAAGTCCAGCGGTTAAGACTTACACGTAAGTTCCCAAAAACTAAATAGTATGTGTGTGGCATTGAGGCCTATTTTGGCAATTGGGTTAAAAATTGGCTTTTTGTCTTTTTTTTTTATATTTTTTTAAGTCATATCACTTCTCTATTTTTTTACATATTTTTTTTAAAAAAAATTAAAAAATTAACTTTGAGTCGCATCACCTCTTTATTAAGACCTATACATAAGTCTCCAAAAACTAAATAGTATGCGTGGCATAAGGGTTGAAGCCTATTTTCGCAATTGGGTTAAAAGCCGACTTTTTGACTTTTTTGATTCATATCACCTTTCTATTTTGAGTCATATCATCACCTCTTTATTTTTTTACACATTTTTTCAAAAAAAAATTAAAAAATTAACTTTGAATCACATCACCTCTTTATTAGAATCAACACATTAGTGCCCAAAAACTAAATACTATGCGTGGCAATTAAGCTAAAAATTGACTTTTTAATTTTTTGATCTTTTTAAATCATATCACTTCTCTATTTTTTTATATAATTGTTTAAAAAAATTAACTTTCAATTTACTTTTCAAAATAAGCATGAAACAAGTACGATTTAAGCCGATTGTGGAAAAGTCATTCCGTTGTTGATACGTTGTGGAAAAGTCATTCCATTGTTGATACGTTGCTTGACTTCTGAGTAGATTAATTGTTGGGAGGCCGTCGATAAAAATTCAAGTGCATGCAAGCTGAACAGAACACAGACATTACTGTGAACCTTCCTTGGGGGCACACATCATGATAGAAAGTGGATTAGCTTTTCTCTTGTTCACTTTGGCCTTTCTTGAAAGTAGGAAAAAGTCTTTTTTTTTTTTTTTTGACTTTTGTTTTAAAAAATATGTTAAAAAACAGAGAAATAATATAATCTAAATAAATTAATAAATTTTATTTTTTTCCAAATTGCCAAAATAGGCCTTTCTCTCTATTGGTTCAAGTGGCATGGGAGTACTCTATACTCAACTTTTGAAATTGATATTGGAGCTTTAAAATAAATTAAAAAATTTTAAAAACATTATCGACATGCTAGCATTGTTTTTGATAAAATGGGACCTATTTCATTTTAGTAGCTTAAGATTTATTACACTAATACTTGTAATTGTGTCACATTAAATACTAAACAAAAGTTTTTTTAAATAAAATTATCCTAACTATGAAAAATCAAATGATATGAAAAATAGTAGCCACGTTGTTACATCTATATATATCTATAAATATAAGTGATAATGCATTAAAGTTGAGGCATAAATGACTCATCATTATATATGAACAGACTGCTTACTTATAGAGAATTGTCAACAATAAGTTAAGCACATTATTTATTGGTTGTGATAAATTAAAAGTCAAGAACAAAGGTCAATGAATTTGGGCCACTAGATTTTACTTTGTATTTGGTCAAGCATCATTAATGAAATTCAATCCATATATACCTTCAATCAAAATCAAAGAAAGAAGATATATAGACTAATAAATTTTTTAAAAGTAAAAAAGTTTTGGAGTAAAAAATTTACTCCATGCCAACAGAGTAAATTTATTTTTTGGAGTAAAAATTTGTCCTTCATTCAAATTTACTCTAAAGTGAAAAAAAAAAAAGAATTAAATATGTAGCCAAACATAAACGGAAAAAAAAAAAAAGTGTAATTTATCCAAAACAAAACTAGTCCTAAAATAAAAATTGAAAGTGGTAGTTTACATTATTTCCATTGGCCAGTAAAAGACGGTAGGAAAGCAAATTTCATAATTAGGATGCCCTTCGGGGTGGAGACTGAAATGCAACTCGTCCAAATTAATGTGATGGTTAGTGTGCCCCTCCTAGGGGTTGAAGAAAAACTTTACTTAAAATTTGTCAAGAAAATTGTTATGAATAGAAAAGTGCAATTTATGTACAGAAAACGTTGATGTTTTAAAAATGATATATAAAATTATTTTTTAGATTTAATAATGTGTAAATGATATGATTAGTTGATGCTTAAAAAATATATGAAGGAGAGTTATCTCAAATATTCTAATTAATTACCAAATCATTGAGTTCGAAAAATCAAAAGCTGTGCCCAAGGTTAAACGAATGTGGACTGTTTGATATGTCCCCAATTCATTCAATGGCTCTCTCAAGTCATGGATCATGATTTCGACATTGAGGAAGCTAGAAGGAAAGTTGGTATAATTTTCGCCACAATAACGACGAGAGGGGAGGACTGAAATAGTTACAAAGACTCTCTGGCTTCACTGACTCCCTGTGCCTGGGTCAATATCGTGAGTCTGACATCAATATTTTTAAAAAGCCTGCTACATCTCTGATCTGAGTATGCATTGCATACATGCTCCAATTGTTTTAGAGCTACAAAGTCCCATACATACATCAATTATGAGTAAAAATAACGTATCCTCTTTTTTTTATTCTGCTCTACTCGTAGCACTGTGCATTGCGGCTACTAATATTTTCCTAGTGTCAGCAACTGTGAATTCATCATCATTATCATCATTAGAGGCCAAAGCTCTACTCAATAGCGGTTGGTGGGGAAACTTTTCTTCTGCAAATCATTGCCAATTGGAAAGCATCGGTTGTAATCAGGCAGGAAGTGTCGTTCAGATTGTCCTTTCTCCTTTTTCTTCTTATCCTTGTTTTCCTTATTATGCTCCTTGTTCTTACTATTCTTCTTATTATTCTTCTTATTATTCTTCCCCCCACCGAAAGCTTGAAAACATGGATTGGACTTCCTTCCCAAACCTTGAAGTTCTCGCTCTCAATGACTGCAACTTAACTGGAAGCATACCCGAGGAAATTGGTACTCTGTCAAAGCTCACCTACCTTGACCTCTCAAACAACAAAAATCTTGAAGGTTTGCTACCTCTTACCCTGGGAAACCTCACCCAACTAGTAGAACTTTACATATATTATACTAATATCACTGGTCCAATCCCTTCATCTATTGGTCATTTGACCAATTTGACATATCTCCATCTTTCTTCAAATCGACTCAACGGTTCCGTCCCTCAAGAAATAGGAATGCTAAAGAACTTGGTTTATATGGCTATGGGTGATAACATTCTTAGTGGTCCAATCCCTTCATTTATTAGTCAATTTATTGCGCTGACCGGTCTAAATCTTTCTTCAAATCGATTCAATGATTCCATCCCTCTAGAGATAGGAGATTTGATGCAATTGGCACACTTGGACCTTAGCCATAACCTCCTTACAGGTAAGATCCCATCTTCAATAGGTAAGTTGACTAACTTGAACTTTTTTGATGCATCTTCAAATCAAGTTAATGACACAATACCCACTGAACTTGGGCTTTTATCCAACCTTAGACATCTCGATTTGTCATCAAACCAACTTTCAGGCCAACTACCACCAATCAAAGCTCCCAACTGGTTTCAGTATCTGGACCTCTCTCATAATTTTCTGAATGGACCTATCCCAACCACATTTGCATGTTTGTCGCAATTACAGTACTTAAATCTCTCCCACAATAATCTCTCTGGCGAAGTCCCATGCAGTGTTTACTCCATAAACGGTCTTGACTTGTCATACAATCCTCTCAACCGTCAAATCCCACAATATGGATATAATTGTCCACCCCATGATTGTCCAACCCCATCACAAGCCCCTTCACCAGCCCCATCACAAGCTCATTCACCAGCCCCATCACAAGCAATTAACAAGACTACCTGCTGTAAAGCCATAAATTCTTCCAAGAAAAGAATAGTGATGCGTACTCTCCTCATTTCTCTCCTTATCATAGTTTTCATTGGTTTACTTGCATTTGCGTGTTTTTGTTGTCGCAAAACCAATAAAAAAGAAGCTAAGGAAAGAGCAATGAAAAATGGGGATATTTGCTCGATATGGAATTATGATGGAAGAATTGCATATGAAGATATCATCAAAGCAACAAATGACTTTGACATCAGATATTGCATTGGAACTGGTGGTTATGGCAGCGTGTATAGAGCTCAATTGCCGAGTGGAAAAGTAGTTGCCTTGAAGAAACTCCATCGTTTCGAAGCAGAGGAGCCTGCTTTTGACAAGAGTTTTAGAAATGAGGCGCAAATGTTAACTAACATACGGCACCGAAACATAGTGAAGCTTTATGGGTTCTGTTTGCACAATAGATGCATGTTCTTGGTATTTGAGTACATGGAAAGGGGAAGCTTGTTTTGTGCCCTGAGATTTGAGGTCGAAGCTGTTGAATTAGGATGGACTCAGAGGGTAAACATTGTTAAATCAATAGCACATGCTCTATCCTACCTGCATCATGATTGCACCCCACCTATTGTTCATCAGGACATATCGACAAACAACATTCTGTTGAACTCTGAAATGGAGGCTTTCATTGGTGACTTTGGCACTGCTAGATTATTATATCCTGATTCATCGAATCAAACCATAATTGCAGGGACTTACGGATATATTGCCCCAGGTAACAACAATATTTTTCGTTTATACATATTTATTTTTTCAATAAAAAGCAGGAAAAAAAAATTTTGGTCTAATTTTTTTTTAGTGACCTACATATTTAGTGACTAACAATTTTTTATCCTAAAGTCAATGATAGATAAATATTTCACATAGTTATTTGTCATTAACTTGCTTCAGAATAGAAAGTGAAAAATACAGAATTTCTTTTATTAATCTTTTTGTTTGTGCAGAACTTGCCTACACAATGGTTGTGACTGAAAAGTGTGATGTTTATAGCTTTGGGGTAGTAGCACTAGAAACAATCATGGGAAGGCATCCGGGAGAACTCCTCTCATCATTAGCATCGCCGTCTTCACAAAACTTAATGCTAACTGATGTCTTAGACTCACGCATTCCGCATCCAACTAATCCAGTGGTTGTAAGGAACATTGTTCTAGTTGCTATTGTGGCACTTGCATGTGTGCATTCTGAGCCGAGATCTCGTCCAACAATGCTATGCGTATCTCAAGAGTTGCTTGTATGCAAGAAGACTTTGGCAACACCTTTTCGTACAATTTCACTACGACAGCTATTGAATCCAAAAATGGATTTTACACAAATAAAGGAATAAAGTCAATGCATGCGTTCTCATCGGAATAAAAATACCCCTTTTGAAATGTTGATTATCATTTTTTTATGGGTCATGGGTGTTATAACTATTATTTACATATGAATTTTTCACCTACTTTTTTCCAAGTTGCTAGTGTTGAAACCTCTAACGGCTTAAGATTGTGTTTGAATCTTGACTTTGACTAGTGGTAAAAAAAAAAATGCCCCCTTTTTCCCTTTGTTTTGGTCTTCCACAAATCCATACTCAAATAAAAACTCTAAACATTGCATAAATTTCTTATATTTTCTCGTACCACAATGAAAAGAATGTTCCCCCGCAGATTTTGAAGTTCAGATATTCATATTATGTATCTAAGCTTGTGTCTATTCAGGAAGTGTATTATCTCTAGGAATTCTTAACGTCCCTTTCACATAGAATAAACACAAAGGGTCCCGGTTGCAAATGTTGGGAAATCCATCTTTAGAACATTATCATCATTTGACCTTACTTCACTAATGCATGAAAATTTCTGTTTCAAATTTCCACCTTTGCAGAGGACATGTATCATCACTCTATCTAGTGACACGCACACATTTGTACAAGTGCAGTTGCACTGGGAGTAAGACTCACGGGAATTTAGGATCGAAAAAGTTCCAGCAATCTCCATGCATGTGGCTCAACCATGACAGATTCAAATACAAGCATAATAGTAAATATCCTTCATTTAGGAGTTCTCTTCTATAAAATAAAAATTAAAATTAAAATTAAACAAAGGCACAATGCAGGAACATCTGATGTTTGAGTCTGTTTAAGTTCAAATCAATATATAAAGCCACACACAAGAGTGGCTTCATGATCCTCTCAGAACTTTCTAACCAACCCATGCTGCACCAAAAGGCAAAACCCACAAACCTCTAACCTCTTTGAAAAACGAACCAGTATTAACTTCAAGACCCAGTTCTGCAATTATCTGCTGCTCAAACTGATTCCATTCATTGTCAGAGAACATGTGAAAAAGGAAGGGAGATGGGGAAAATGATGCACATGAACTCAAGGTTCTGGTTGTCTGATACTAGGTTTTGGTGAGCGATGAGGATAATTGTGGTGATATGGAGAAGCATATTGGCCGTTTGGTAGGGAGGGGCTGCAGGCTGGTTGCCCATTTTTTGGTAACGCTTGTCTGCTGTTTAGTGCCATTTTTAGTATATGGGTTAATAATCCCAGCTCGTTCAGCCTGCATAGCCTGGAAGTAGGATGAGGAAAAGGCCATGTCCTTGCGATCGGGTAAAGGCTTCAGGTGTTCAATAACTGTACTCATCAGAGGTTTGGCTTTTGGATCACGGGTAAGGCAACAAGAAGCCAACTGAGCTGCTTTATGAGCACCCTTTACTGAGAAGTGACCTTTAAGGCGAGGATCTATTAGTTGATAGAACTTTCTCCTATCTCCAAGATATGGTCGTGCCCATTCTACTAAGTTATGCTCTCCATTTGGTCGGCTTTTGTCCATGGATTGTCGGCCAGTCAACATTTCAAGTAAAACAACCCCAAAGCTGTAGACATCACTCTTTGATGTCAGATGTCCTGCCATAAAATGGATGATATATATAAATCTCTGTTGTTCTTTTAAACATGTCAAACACAAACATTCCCTAGAGCATATACATAACATATATATAGCCATAACCTAAGTGTCTGCAGTTTGGGAAAAGCATTCCACATCCAAATTGTAGTGTCACATTTAAGTGTGTCCATATCAAACTATATAACTAAGTTTCATCAATCAAGTAGAGACAGCCATTACCACAATTTCATAATCCAATGCTTACATCATTGTTGTTGACGTAAGGTAAATTAAAAATCAGAATCAAAACAAATACGGAAACTATATGGTAACTTATAATTCATGCTTCTTCTAGGTTTTTCCATACTAAATGAAAATATGTATAAATTATGACAAGAATAAGATCTTTGTTCTCCAGTGCATTGATCTGCTCATTTTTCTAGTTTTCTGGCTATAATCATGTGAATATTCACAGAAGAATTTTCTTTATTGGAAACCGGGCCAAGCTCACCTAAGTTCAAGCAAAGCTCAAACGCCATTGCATCTTTGTCAAGCCAATCCAGAACAACCTAGTATTTTACTTGGCTCAGGCAGGTTCATTCGCAGCCCCACATATAATTCATTCTTACATCAAATTTTGTGTTTCTATACACATATTCAAGTATTTTCAGTTTGTCCTCAAACCATCAACCATATCATATGATTCAAAGTAAATATTATTAACCATTTCAAAAGGGGAAACAAATAAGGAATTTCAAGATGAACCCTTATTTGGAAACTAAGTTGGCATAGCAAATTAATGAAACTCGGAGAAATGTGCCTAAAAAGAGTCACATGGAGTATTCTACATTCAAGTAATGCCTTCTTATAAAGGAAACAATAAAATGTTATAAATTCAGTCCAGAAATCCCTTGAACTAGGATGCAAGAACCAGAAGGAGACAGAGCACAGATACAGATGAGATTTCAAATATATCCAAAATAAATAATTAACATATAATTTAACCATGCTGACCTGTCATGACATCCTCTGGGCAGCATAGCCACATGTCCGCATTATTTGTGTAGACACATGGGTCTTGTCTCCTTCTGGGCTGTCTTTCGCAAGTCCAAAATCAGAGAGCTTCGCATTGTAGTCCTGAAAAAACAAGTTTGAGAAAACAATGAGACTAATCAATAGGAAAACTATGTTGTTCTATGAACTTGCTTTAAAATAGGAAGTGAAAATGTAGAGTTTCTTTCATTGTTCTTTTTATTTGTGCAGAACTTGCCTACACTATGGTTGGGACTGAAAAATCTGATGTTTATAACTTTGGGTAGTTGCACTAGAAACAATCATGGGAAAGCATCTAGGAGAACTCCTCTCGTCATTGGTATCGTTGTCTGCTCAAAAAATAATGCTAAGTGATGTCTTAGACTCACGCCTTCCGCATTCAACTAATCCAACGGGTGTAAGGGACATTGTTCTAGCTGTTGCGTTGGCATTTGCATGTGTGCATTCTGAGCCGAGATCTCGTCCAACAATGCTATTCGTATCTCAAGCGTTGCTTGTTTGCAAGAAGACTTTAGTTACACCTTTTCGTGCGATTTCACTATGACGGTTATTGAATCTAGAAATGGATTTTACACGAATAAAGGAATAAAGTCCATGCATGAATTTCTCATCTGAGAATGTTTTTTTTGAAATGTCGAGTATCATAAATATCTTTGTCAATGATGTTACACGTAGCATTCTTTTATACCACTTTTCATGTGCCACCTTACGTGTTAACTAATCATTGGTGTATCCACCTCTTATGCTTATATCAAATGATGTGCTAATTAACACACAGGGTGGTACACAAATGGTGGTATAAAGAAATGGTAAGTGTAGCATTACTCTGTTTTTTTATTAGTTTTGGGTGTTATAACTGTTATGTATGGCACCTGCTGTGTATCACCATTTGAATTTCACCTACTGTTTTTCAAGTCGCATAGTGTTGAAACCTTAACTGCTTCAAATTGTGTTTGTATCTTGATTTTTAGTAGGGATGTGTGGAGGAAAAAAAAAAATCTAAAGCTATAATGTGAGAAGAAAAAGGAAAAAAAAACTTTTTTTTTGGATTACATTTTCAGAAATTATTTTTAAATGGATTTTTGTTTGTCTTTATTGAACTGTTTCATATTTTAGTTAATTTTTTTTTAAAAGCCTTTTAGATACATCAAGATTAAATGTATTAAAAAAATTTTAAAAAAAATTAACTAAAATTTTAAACTAGGGGTGCAATTCGAGCGGATTCGGAGGTTGTCCAAGCCTAGCTCGAGTTGTAGATCTGTCTAGGTCTGCCTAAGCCTGAATTGTAACTCGAGGTTGCCTGTCTAAGCTCGATCTAAGTTAAACTCGAAATGCCCGAGTTGCCCGAATTGTATTTTTTTTTTTTTTGTAGCTACATTATTAAATTATTAAAATTTGACTCTATTTATATTTTTTTTATATAGAAAATCATTAATATCATCAAAACAAATAATTTATATAATGTAAGAGAGATGCCGCTATAGTAGTCTTTATAATTTATGAGTGAAAATAAAAATAAAAAAAAGATTTTATGTTATTTGTATATATAATATATATTCAATATGATTTAATAATCTAAATTATTTTAATATCATGTAATGGCTAATAATTTATATACATGTTTAATATTTTTATATATTTATATATGTATAATTCGGGTTTCAGGTTGCTTGGGTTATTTGACGTCTTTACCCAAGCCCGCCCAAATTTAATTCGGGCTGTTGAATTGTTGTCCAAGTCCATACCGAATTTGAAAATATCTTGTCCAAGCCCTAAAAAAATTCGAGTTGAATTCGGGGTGCTCGGGTTGAGCCCGCCTAAACTGCACCCTTACTAAAAACAAACAATAATCGGAACAACAATATATTTTTGTTCAAATTTTCATTTATTTTTAGTGATATTTTAAAATATTTTAGACAATTTATTTTACTTTTTAGATGAATCTTGATTAGTTGCATCTAAAATAATAAAAAATGATTAAAATATAATAATAAAATCACTAAAAATAAACAAAAACTCATCTAAAAATAATTTTTAAAAAACCAAACCAAACTGATTTTTTTTTTTCACATTTCCCTCCTATTTTCTTTCTCCTCTACAAATCCCTACTCAAATAGAAAATCTAAACATAGCATAGAAATTTCTTATATTTTCGCTACGCAAACTCACACTACAATGAAAAGAATGTTCTCCAATTGACCTTGACAATTGGAGTATCAAGTATACTCCTCCTCGAACTCCTTGTTTAGTCAAGGCAAATTGAACCATCAAATGTATGTTCTAACCCATGAAAATAATATGAACATAGAAATTTTCACAAAATACTCATAACTCTTCAATCTAAGGTTCATTTTGAAGTTCGGATATTCACATTATAAGCTTATGTTGATTCAGGAGGTACATTATCTCTGAGATTTCATAACATCCCCTTTTGCACAGAATAACCACAAAGGATTCTGGTTGCAAATGTTGGGAAATCCATCTTTAGAACATTATCATCAGTTGAGTACTTCATATTTTCGAAATTTCAGTAATTTACACCTCAAAATTATAATGATTTGTAACTCCAAATTATTTACACTAAATTTTTTTTTAAATAGTTTTCAAATTAAATTTTATCAAATATTAAATTTTACATCAAGTTAATTAGAATATACAAAAAAAAATATTTTAAATTTCATGTTTATTCTTTTTTAATTTAAAATGAGATTAGGGTGAAAACAAAAACTTGAAAACTTTAAGTGAGGTCAAAAGTGTAAAATACAAAACATTTACAAATTATAAAGCAAAATGAAACCCTTATCGGGAGAAATTATTCAATATTTTTGGAATATGATGTGTTTGTACTTCCTAACCAATCATTATTTAATATGTCCCTTTATATTTCTCAATCACCCAATACAATATCCTACGTACTCACATTTTTCACCAATAATAATTTTATGAAATACCATGTGTCCATACCCGAAATTAGTGAATAATTATCAGTGTGACAAGTGAAGGAGATCAAAACGAAGCCAAACGAAGTTGATGATGAAGAAGTTGTCGCTCGTCAGAATCGGAGGTCCGTGGAAGCTTCGTCGTCACTCATCCTTCGTCCATCGCTGTTCTTGTCATGTCCACTATTTCTGCCCCCTTTTTTTTGCATCATGATCCTACAATCACAATTATATTAAATTCATCATCTTATCTCTATCGTTTGAACTAATTTAACTCTATTCAATCATTATCATTTTATTTGTGTAGGCGATCAGCCATTTCATGGTGAATGTAATTTTTATTTTGGGAGCTTTTTTGATAAATTCATTTTCTAAGAGCTTTATTCCATCCAACCCATATTCTTTTTTACTATTCCATTAGGTCCAATTTGAGATAAGAAGACCAAAATACCCTTTTCATCTACTTATGTTCCATTTAGTTCACATTATTTTCTTATGTTTCAATAAGTCCTATGGGTGACATAATTACCAAAATACCCTTAATGTGAATGTTCACACCGTCAATATAAATGTTTATATCGTCAATGTGTAGGGGCCCGGCTCATGTCGATCCTCGTGGGTGCCCGGAAAAATTCGAGTCGGGCCGGGCCGGCCCAAGAGCCAAAAAAATAGGTCCGACCCGACCCGTTGATAATATGAATATTCACATTGACAAGTTAACATTCACATTGATAGGAGTGTAAAATTGGCCTGCGGCTCGTGGGCGGCCCGAAACCAGCCCGTCGCCCGGGACGGGCCCGGGCCGGCCCGTTCACAATATGAATATTCACATTGACATATTAACATTCACATTAA